TACAAATTTATATTTCCACCAATAGTATGAAAGGGTTCCTTTTCCCCCATAGGCTCTCCAGTATTTGCTATTATTTGATTTCTTGATGATGCCCATTTTCCTCGGGTTAAGATGGAATCTCAGCGTTGTTTTAATTTTCATTTCTCTAATGGCCAGAAAAGTTGAGCATTTCTTCATGTATTTATAGGCAATTTGTACTTCTTCTGTGAAGTGCCTATTCACTTCATTTGCCCATTTTTTGACTGGGTCTCTTATTTTGGCGGTTTAATTATTCTGAGTTCTTTATGTACTACAGATACGAGTCCTCTGTCTGAGGAATCACTGGCAAATTTTTTTTCCCACTTTGTAAGTTGTCTTTTTACTCTGTTGGTTCTTTTGCTGTGCAGACCTTTTTAATTTGCTATGATCCCATCTGTTATTCTCAAAACTATTTCCTGTGCTACTGGAGTTCTGTTCACAAAGTTCTTACCTATACCCCATGACTTCAAGAGTGTTACCTATTTTATTCTTCAAAAGGTTGTTTCTGGTTTAACATTTAGTTCTTTGAACCATTTTGATTTCAGTTTGGTACAGGGTGAGAGTTTGCGTACAAACTCAATCTTCTGCGGTGGACAGCCGGTTTTTCCCCAACACCATTTGCTAAAGAGGTTATCGTCCAGTGTGTATTTTGGAACCCTTTGTCAAATTTTGGGTCTCTTCTGATTCTATATGAATTTTAGAATTCTTTGATCCATTTTTGTGAAGAATGCTGTTTGAATTTTGATTGGGATTTCATTAAATCTGTATACAAGGCCATTTTGACTATATTGGTTTTGCCTATCAGGAACTGGGACTATCGTTCCATTTTTGGATAGTCTCTTAAATTTCCTTTTTCAGAGCACTAGAGTTTCCACTGTAAAGGTCTTTCACACTTCCTTAGATTAATCCTTACTACTTCATTATTTTATGCTACTGTGAATGATATTTTTTCCATCATTTCTTCATCAGTGGATTCATTATTACTGTATAAGACTGTTATTGATTTCTATGTGTTAATTTTGTATCCCACTACATTACTGAATTTGGTTATTAATTCTAAAAGTCTTTTGGTGGATTTTTGAGGATCTTGTACAGGATTGTATCATCTGCAAATAATGATAACTTGACTTCTTCCTTTCCTATACAAATCCCTTTTATTTCTTTCTCTTGCCTAATGGCTCTTGCTAATGTAAATGTAATATATCACACAGACACAAAAATATAAATCACATGATCATCACAATAGATGCAGAAAAACGCCTTTGACAAAATCCAACATCCTTTCATGAACACTAAAGAAAATAGGTACAGAAGGACCTTATCTCAAGCTGATAAAAGCCTTTTATGACAAACCTAGTATCAACATATTCAATGAGAAAACACTGAAAGCCTTCCCTCTAAAATCAGGAATAAGACTGGATACACTCTATCACCACTCCTGTTCAACACAGTAACACAATATGCTATTAATCTGCAATACTCTTAAGGAGTAATAGTACATAACATAGCCCTTAAAAAGATGGTGAATATAATGCTAGCTATAAAGAACAGAGATCCCTAATCCCTACAACCATGGGTATCCATCAGTCCATAGCCTGTTAGGAACCAGGCTACAAAGAAAGAGATGGCCAGCATGTGAGCAAGCTATGCTTCCTCTATAGACAGAGCCAGTCACTCCCCATCACTCTCATTACCACCTGGCAGAGGCATTAGATTCTCATGGGAATATGAACTCTACTGTGAATTCGGCATGATAAGGATCTAGATTGCATACTCTTTATCAGAACTAATAGCTGAGATATAAAGTGGACCTGAAGCAATAGTACTAGACTTGGGAGTGGCTACAAATACAGATTAACATTAGCCGAGAAATTTGACTGTAGAGAGACCATAATCAATTGCTTAAAGACTCATATCAAAAAAAGCCTATCAGTGAATGGCAACTGACAATTTAAGCTACATTTGGTGACAGATTCTATAGTGGCAAGTGAGTTGACATACTTTAATGGTACAACTGCATTTGGTGGCAGGCTGTAAACCACAATCTGACCAACCCAAGGGCCACTCATGGCCTGCCCATGATTTACTACTTTCATCCACCCTTCTTTCCCATCCTAAGCACTTGTCTCACAGTTTTTCTAAGCCCACAAGCTAACTCTAGCCAAAATGCGTTAACAGTAAGTATCACTGGAGAGCTTCTTTGAAAGGGGGATAAGATCCAATGACAAGATGGCAGAAAATTCTAAAACTTCCAACCAAAAGAAAGCTGCATTTAAAAGAAAATACTCCTACTTAAATTACAGGCTCATTCTAGCATTCACATTCTCCAAGCCTGCTTTGTATATGTTGTAACTGACTATCCAACGAAGCCATGAAACCTTCAAAATTGCTTTGCCACATGGAGACTGAGCACCTTGCATTAAAAGACAAGCTCCTGAAGTTTCTCAAAATTTAAAAAAAAATGAATACAAGAAAAGTAAATACTGAAGACCAAGACTTCACCAAATGTGTCTGCATTAAGAGCATTGTTTTTAGTGGGTAACCTCACTGCTAACCTAACTTACTTTACTAAAGTAAGAAGCCCTTTAGCCCTTTAGCCCTTTACCAGCTACTGGTAAATAGCTGCTAAGGATATACTACTGGTTGTGAACTTTTAGGAAAAGCTGTAGTTCAAAAGGTGACGTGTTCTTCTCTCTGCTAGCACGATAACTAGGTAAGCTGATGAAATAGAGGGGATATTCAGTCACCATGATATGAAATCCAGATTGAGGAGTCTAACAAAGTTGACAAGGCAATAATACTTATTTCTGCGTGATACACTTATGAGAAGGATGGGCATGATGATATGTTATATAGACTTTTGTTGCCAATCAATACCACAGCTACAGAATTATTCAAGTATTTGAATAACTAATTACATATCAGGAAAAGTGTACATGCACAGACAGCAGCTGCCATGACTGGACAGCTTTCCAGTTTCGCTACTTGGGTTAAAGAGGGAACTTCTGCATGTGAGTCTATGCATTTCTCTATCTAGAGAAATGCTGGCTAGCCAAAAAATGTCACCTGAACTTAAAAGCATTCTTCAAGGTATGATTAAAATTATCAACCACATTAAAATACATGCCCTTACTCACATATGTCCATCAGCTCTGTGAGGAGATGGACTCAGAGTACACAACTCTTCTCTTACAGTAGTGAGATGGTTTTCTAAAGGTAAATTACTGGTGAGTTTTTGAGTTACATGACCACTCCAAAGATTTATTTTAGAAAAACAGTCATCACTGGTAGCATATTTCAGTGACACAGGACGGAATACAGAACTTGCTCACTTGTGTGACATATTCAACCTGCTCAGAGAACAACTGTGTTCAAGTCAGCAGATAAAGTGGATGTAATCAAAATCAGACTGGAATTATTCGGGCAATGAGTGAACATTAAGATTTTTGACATATTTTAAACATTAGCAGAGATTTTGAAAAAGACTGAGAAAAGGTTTCTTTCCTCCAGCTGGTGCATGACCACTTATCTCAGTTTTCAAAAGAGTTAAAGCATTACTTCTCAACCATAAAAGATCCCCAGACTGGGACGGAATGGACCCACAACCCATGTGTAAATAAGCCAAGTGAATTGACTTTTGTGCTGAGAGGATCAAGTACTTGAGATCACAACTGATAGCTGCCTTAAAAGTATATTTGAGACAACTTCAAGTAATCATGTTATTTTCTTCAAATCACCGTATATTAAAGTCAAGACTGAATATCCTGAGTGCCCCAAAAGCACTAAAAAGCTTCCATTTCCAAAGTCCTACCTATTATGACAGCAACCAAAATGAGATTACAAAGCAGACCAGACATAACATAATTCAGGCGTCATGGATCACTCTCAGATAGGAACATCTAGTTGCAGAAAAAATAAACTCAGAGCTCCCACTGATTCTGCATTATAGTGGATTGTATAACTCTTTCATTATATATTACAATGTAATAATAATAGGAATAAAGTGCACAATAAATGTAATACACTTCAAAGTGCACAATAAATATAATACATCTGAGACATCCCAAAACCACCCCTGACCAGGTACATGGAAACACTATCTTCCACAAAACTGGCCCGTGGTGGCAAAATGATCAGAGACCACTGCTTTAGAACTATTTTTTTGAGAAGACTAGCATACTATCCAGCAGAGTTCTCTTGTAACTAGCTGAATATTTAACAAATTATTTATTTATCAATGGTAAATTATAAATGAAGTCTATTCTTTTACACATTTACAGTATTTGTTAAATGCTGAATTTCAAAAGATTTCTGAACACAGCTAAGTGATATAATCCTCAAAACAACCTTATATGATGTTATGGTTGATACACTGTGTCAACTTGGGGAGTCTAGAGGTTTGGCTAAGTGAGTCAGCAGGAAGCCAGGGTGCTTACTTTGTATACATCCTGAGCCTGTGGAAGAGGAGAGCATGGAGGTTATGTGAGAGCTACATGCCCCTTAGGTGGGTGTAGCCTGTTTACAAAGTAAGGCAGGGAAAGAAGCTGCTTGCCGCCATTCCTGCCATTCCTCCATTTTGCTCTGGCTGCTTTGCTGTTCGGCTGCCATTCCCCCTTTGCTCTTGTTGCTTTGTTATCTTCTGCCTCAGAGCCAGCCAAGTATGGACTAAAACCTCCACAAACTGTAAGCTAAATAAACCTTTCCTTCCTTAATTTTGGGCATTGGGTATTTTTTCTCAGCAATGAGAGAAAAGTAACCAAGACATATGAAAAATTCAGTTGTACAATAATTGTATTATAATCAATAATAAGAAAGAGACAGACCTCTAACCCTTACTGGCAAACTGGAAACCAAACTATAATTATAACCCTAGAAGAAATATGATCAAAGTGTGACACCACAGATGGTATGACTACATATATTTATATCTAATCAAGCACACATCTGTAACTAGTCTATAGCACAAATTTTTAGCCCATTACCTCTTTAATTTTGTCCCTTTTCTTTCTTATCTCAATATCCTCTGGGTCTCCACCACTGATCCCTACAAGGTTTGGAATAGGAACTGGCGGCAGTGGCTTGTTCTCTTTTGTCTTCATTTCCTGGACTATCTTATTTTTCTCTGTCTGAATTTCTGCATGAATTTCTTCTCTTGACTTTCTCAATTTTTCTTTTGCTTCTTCCAGGGCCTTTTCATGATCAGCTCGAATTTTATTTCGTAGACGTTCTTCTTCTTCCCTGTAAGTACAGAAGAAAAAAAATGGTAAGAATGAGTCTTCATAAGAATGTCAACCTTTAAACAAAAAACCTTAAAGTTCCTCCACCAAGCCCTGATAAGAATTCTCTAATCTTGCCATTAAAGTTTACAATTATTAGTAAGACAGACTCGGATCTGCCCGAAGAATAGAGTAAATATAACTTGGTATGAGAAAAGCATATAAACCCTAGACACTAAAAACACTTTGCATAGTAAGGAAAGTGAAAAAGTAGAAACAAAGTTCCAATTTCAGGTCTAAGTGAGAAGAGAAAATGACAATCAGTAATTCACAGATAGATACATGCAAAATAAATAAATAAATAAATATAGAACTACGAAAAACTAAAGGGAAGAGAAAAAGTTAAATATAAAATTAAGTATCAGAGAGGGAACAAAAATACAAATATCGGGCCAAAGAAAAAAGAGACAAAGGAAGTGGGAAATGTTTCATTTGTTACAAGTACAGGATATGCTTCTAAAACTTTGTTTCGGAAGTAGCATTCCTCCAAAGCCTCATGCACAAAGGTGGAACTTGTAGGATGGAGCTGGATCATGGATATGTGATGCTGGACAATGGCTGTGATAACTGCCATCATAAAGAGTGGTAATTAATTCACTGAGCAGTTTAGCCTAGTTCTGGGTGTGGATAATGGAAGGCACATCCTGGGTGTGGGCGGCACCAATAGGCTTGTAGCCTGAATGGAATAAAAAAGGAAAAGGCTTGCTGCTGGCTGCTTCCTACCTGTCCTGCCACAGACTATTTCTCCTCTGCCACGCACCTCTTTCATATTGCTCTGCCTTCAAGGCAGCCAACTATGGACTGAAAGCTCTACAAACTGTGAGGTAAAATAAACCTTTCCTCCTTTAACTTGTGGTTCTCAAGCATTGCATAAGATTGTTAGAAGACTGGATGAGATGACACAAGGGCTGGAATTCAATTAATTCAATTCCTCTATTTCCTTACTCACTATCCTCTCATCTCTACTGCCAATATCCATCCTAGATGGTCTCCTTCCCTGAGGCTCTTACAATCAAGTGATAGATTTTCTTCTCCAATTAGAATAAATAGGTCACATAAGAAAGCACTATGGAGGTAAATGTCCTAAATTACAAAAGGACCATTAAATCTACAATGAAATCTTATTTGGCAAATACAGCATTTTGTCCCAGCAACATGAAAGTAACTAAGATAGACTTCATAGTGTGATAGTTTCCAACTCATATGTGAAGAGCTACTTAAAACTCTCTTAACTTCTGGGTATTTTCCCAGAAGATCTAAAAACATCATATCACAGCGATACATGTGCACCTACGTTCATAGCAGTACAATTTATAATTGCTAAATTGTGGAAGCAACACAAATGTCCATCCACTGAGGACTGGATAAGAAAATTGTGGTACTTTTATATAATGGAATATTACTCAGCTATAAAGAAAGATAAACTTGAGGCCTTTATAGGGAAATGGTCACAACTAGAGACCATACTCATAAGTGAAATAAATCAGACCTGCATGTGCAAGCACCGCATTGTTTCACTAGTATAAAACCTGAAAGAGTTAACTTAAACTAGGAGGTATGATAGACATTATGAAATGATAAGAAAACACTCAAGGGTAAAGGGCAACTGGGATGTGGGAAAAGAGAAGGGAAAGAAGGAGAAATTTTTTTATGTTTGTATATACAGGATCGTTAACATAGCTGATCTACTGTCTTGTATTTCTTTGCTGAAAGAAACTGTCAATGAGTCCTTGATTGATCAATATTGCATGTCTTTGTTTTAATGAAAAACTACTTTAAAGATATCAATATGTAATACAACAAGCACTGTTAATTTCCTACCACTTTGTTTGTAACTCCATATTGTCTGTACTGTTCTTTTGCTATTTTGTAAAAGGTTGTCTGTTAATGTTTTCCTCCTTTTATTTTTAAAATAAAAAAAAAGAAATACTATTTAACCATTTAAAAAAAAACTCTTTTAAATCCTTGTTAAAAATACAGGTGGCAATTTAGTAGGTCTATATGAAATCTATGAATCTGTACTGGTTGAATGTTCTTTCTGCCTAATCCTTGGGACCAGAAGTATTTCAGATTTCACATTTGCAAAGTGGGGATAAACTATTTACTTCCACACTGGGAAATATTTAGTGATTTCTTAAAAACCAAACAGTCAACTATCATCCAATCTAGCAACTCCACTCCTGGGCATTTATCTCAGTGAAATGAAGACTTACATTCATACAAAAACCTATAATCCAAGTCAGTCACTAAAAAGCAAATACTGTTTGATTCCACTTACATTAAGCACTATAGAAGGCAAAACTAAAGATGTAAAGTAGAAAAGCAGTACCCAATGATTTTTGGTAAAACAAACGGGAGTTACTGTTTAATTAAAGTGCAAGAGTTTTGGTCTCCTAAGATGAAAAAGAGTTCTGGAGGTGGATGGAAGTGATGCTAGTACAATATGAATGTATGTAATGCCACTGAGAGAATCCAAGAAGAAATGAAAGATGGATTGATCTGTTCAAGAGATCAGGAGACTCGGGAAACTAGGGGCATCATAACAAACAGATACTGAATGAAGTCTCACATAACATAACCAAAGCAGACACAAAAACCACCCAAGAGCCTTTAAATCCCTTCCCCTGTACACCAAAGAGGAAAAAAATTATAATCTAATATTAAAAAGTAAAAAGTCAAATGTTTACAAAAAAAAGAAAACTGAATTGCTCTCTAGCAGAGAGAAAAGGGGAAGAAAGGTCATATAAGTACTGGAGTCAAGAATAAGCAAGGCCATTAAAGAGAGAAGGAGAATCCATGGGGCCTAGCCAAAGTGGGGAGTGGGGGGGGGGAGCCAACCTCTGAGTGAATCTAAGAGAAACTGACATGTAGGCTGAATGAAGTTTTATAAAAGGAAAGCCAGGTAGACACAAGTATAGCAACCCCACACATACAACAAGAGCATTCTAACCACTTTCTCTCCCCTTACCAACAGAAAAAACAGTATGCCTGACTGAGAGAACAGATCATAATTCATCTATGACAATCAAGTCTTTCCAAGATGACCCTACAGCTAACGGATAGTCACAAAACTTTATCCCAGCCAATGACACCTAGGGGGCTACCAGAAATGTTTTCCTTTGTGGATTAAAAAATTGACAGAGGCAACTGCAAAAAGGTCTTTTGACTGTTAAGTCTAAACTTTATCCAAATATCTATTGCTAGCTTCAAATATAATCATAATGCCTAAAGCTTTAATAACCATCTTGCAATCAAGAGGCAATAAGCTGGAGATAAAGAGCCACCATGGTTTAAAAGAGGTAAGAGTTCACAAAGTGCTTGCTATCAATGAGTTACTAACCAGGGCCCTCAACTGCCTGTCCCCAGATTTCAGATTCCGTGGAGCTACTGTCAGTTGGATGTCCTGTCAATCCAGCTAAGAATTTTCCCAACCACACATTCACCTAGCAAGCATGCACATAGATTCAGGAAATTAGAAAGCCCAGGACTATGCCCTGTGGAAGAAAACCACCAGACAGGGGGAAATGGCATCTTCAAAGGCAGTTTCTGTCCTCACAATGCCATAGAGTCTACAAGTAGCCAAGTTCTCCATGTCCAGTTCCAAGCTCCTTATTACCCCCATGTTATTGCTGAAAAGCTCTAAAAAGTTCTGCAACAAATACGTTTAACATAACTCTTCCTAAATTTAATCACAGTTCCCCTTTACTATATACTCCTTTCAACATGCATAGAACAGTGACACAGAGAAAATGTCTACGTATATCATCAGTGAAGCTTGTGTGGTAGAAAAATATTTTTTTCTGTGTAATACTGTCTATATGTCACCTCTCTGAGCCTCCCTTTCTCATTTGTGAAAGCAGAGACCCTCCTAATTGCATAAGATTGTTAAAAGACTGGATGAGATGACACAAGGGCTGGAAATTCAGTTAATTCAATTCCTCCATTTCCTTACTCAGTATCCTCTTATCTCTGCTGCCATTATCCATCCTAGATGGTCTCCTTCCCTGAGGCTCTTGTTAGTATCTGAGTGTTGATTTGACAGAAATAAACAATCAAGTGATAGATTTTCTTCTCCAATTAGAATAGGTCACATAAAAAAGCACTGTGGAGGTAAATGTCCTAAATTACAAAAGGACCATTAAATCTGCAAGGAAATCTTATTTGACAAATACTTAGATGACTGAAAGTATTTCCTTTTCATAGTCACTTAATGCTAGTCTTTACCTACATAAAGGAAGTCTCAGACATTCTTTAAAAATAGATAAATTAAAACTCAGAACTGCTTCCAACTTTATTGTGTTTCTCTTCCATCCTTGCACGAATATACTTTTCGAGAATATTATTGTACTTATTGTTTCTACTTTCTACATCTAATCACTCTTCTATCTACCATAGCTGAAACTTAGTAACTAAGTTTATTCTTCCTTTGAAACTCCCTCTTCCTCAAACTGGGCCTCTCCAACAAGCCTGTGACCACTGACTTTACCACCTTCAATAAACACCCACAATGTTGTATTCCATCCTTTAAGTCACTTCTGCCCTTTCTGTTCAATACCACACCATTGTATTTTCTCAACTATTATACCAAAATATATCTTCACCAGGTAACTACTCCAGATTCAAGAAACTAACACTGTGTAAGACTACCACTGAATATTTGCTATACATCTCCAATTTAACATGTCCAAACAGAATTGAATGACTAGTATGAAAAAGGAAAATACTGGCTAAACTCATGCAGGAACACATGTAACAAAAATAACATTTTAGTAAAGTGAGTCTGCAATATTAGAAATTAGAAAAAAGAGTAACTCCAATAAATTTAAAAATTTATCACTACCATTTATCCTCTAATAAAAAAGTGGTCACTCATTAAAAACAGAGAAACAGAAAAAGAAAGTGATAAAATGCAACACCTACTCCTGATACCAAAACCTGGAGGAACTTAGGCCTTTCCAAAAC